TGTTCTTTGCCTGGCTGAGGGGCTTCTTTAGAATTATTTTATTCACTCCTACGTATAGGACATTCTGTCAGCCTCATGTATTTATCTGGTCCACATCATGATCTTCAGTACGTTTCTCCTCACAACACACTTGGGAGGAGGGGAGTGCTAGCATCCAGATTGGGATCTGAGGTGCAGAAAGGCTAAGGGATTTGCCCAAAGGGAGGCTGTAGCAGCACAAGGGATTGAACCAAGGTCTCCCAAGTGCTAAGCTAGATCCTGGACCGTTGGACCACCCTTCCTCTTCTCTTATAGCACTCTGGTGGTCACAAGGACATAGACCACCAGGGCAAGTCCATATCGCTTCCTGTCCAGCTGCTGATTGAAGAAGAAAAGAAAAATCACAGTGATTGTTGCTATGTGGGTGTAACACAAGCTAATCCAGCCCTGCTGTTTGACCCCCCTTAGTGGCTACACTGCATCTAGAGAGTCTGCTGCTTCTTTTGGGTTGTTATGGGTGGGGTAAAACCTCAGTGAAGCTGGTGAGTGTAGCCACCCTTCAACTGGGATAAATGTCAGAAACAATGAAGCTCCTCTATGGAATGGAATAGCTGAAACAATAGCAGCCTCCACCCAAAACAAAAGTACATGTCCCCACCCAGAAACTGAGCTTTGTGGAGAAGTTTTGCTGGCTATTGTTTTGTGAAGGTTTGTGTGTCTGGAAGAGAAGCAGCAGAAAGACCACAGAAGTTGAGGGCTTGGCTACACTTGCAAGTTAGCACGCATTAAAGCAGCCCCAGGCACCCTAACTCCTTAGGTGTCCACACTGGCAAGGCACGTAGCGCTCCTGGACTCTGCAGCTGGAGCGCTCCTGGTAATCCACCTCCACGAAAAGCATAAAGCCCGGGCATCAGTGTGAACGAGGTGTTGCATTACTGCGTTGTGATTGGCATCCGGAAACATCCCATAATCCCCTGAAGTCAAGTGGCCACTCTTCTCATTGTTTTGAAATCGACTACAGGAATGTGGATATGCCCTTTCAAAGCTCCATTTCTGACAGCCGGCTGCTTATCTGCTCCGGGACAAAGCAAGCTATTAGTGTGGAATGCTGCTGTTGTGAGTGTGTGTGTATATGTGTGTGTGGGGGGGTCTGCTGCTGTCTTAACTTACAAGACAGCATGCTGACATGCTCTCAGCCCCCCAAAACACACTGTCTCTCCCCTCATATACACACAACATGCTCCCTGTCACACTCCACCCCCCCGCCCCATTTGAAAAGCACATTGCAGCCACTTGCACACTGGGATAGTTACCATAATGCACTGCTCTTTGTGGCATTGCAAGACCTGCTAATGGGGCCACGCCAGTGCGCTTGCAGCTGACAGTGTAAACACATAGCAGCGTTTTCCCTGCTGTGGTCTCCGAAGGCTGGTTTAACTCCCAGCGCTCCACATCTGCAAGTGTAGCCATGCCCTGAGAGAGAGGGCAGCAAGAAAGCCAGGGAGGCAGCTAAAAAGAGCACTTGCAAGCATGGCCCTGAGAAAAGCCAAGGGAGAGCTTTTGGGCAGAGTGCTGGCTGAAAGAGCCTTTGAGCTGTGATCAAAGAAACTGTCTCCTGTTGTTTGATTCCTCCTGTGTTCAGGAAAACAGGGCTTTGTGCATTCTTTGCAAATAAGCAGGACTGCATCAAAGAAACACCTGACTCTATCATTAATTTCTCCTCCTAGTAGAAGCAACTCACAGGACCCCAAAAACTGGCTACCAACTTGGGCCAAAAAGGGGTAACTGAGTTAATGATGCTTTAGCTCAGGCACTATAGGCTCCTGGGGTGAGGTCCCACGTTGGAAACCTACAGCTGACCCCTGCCAGTAGCATCATTATATGGGTATCTAGGATCAGCGAGGAGAGTCCATGAGGCTGCTTACCATAGCTAGAGCTACCTAATGTAGGATAATGGGGTTTATCAAGACATTTATCTCCTCTGGCCTGCATTACCTGGGTTCACCTAGAGCTAGCTACATGTGTTCGTCCACAGCCCCCACAGAAGTAAATGAGGCCAGGGCCCCAGCTGGTGTGAATCAGCCCTATCTCCACTACAGTCAATCCCCAGCTGGGTTTAAATTGGTGTTGCTCCATTGGACTCAGTGCACCAGCTGAGTATTTGTGCCATAAAATTTACTTATTTAATAGACACTGACTGAAATTCCCCTCATGCAGAGGATCAGCATGAGAGCCAGGCTCTGCTTATTAAATCCGGGTGAATAACTGACTTTTCGGGTCACTGGCAATTCCGAAAGAAATCAGGAAAAACAATCAGGTCAACCTGAAAACAATTTTTTTTAAAGTTTAAGTGAATTGAAAAGTCAGAAAAAATTGTTTTGGATTGAACAAGGTTTCTGATTTCAATACTTTTCACATTTAAAAAAATTAAAGGAAATTACGAAACAAAATGTTTTTCCAAACCAAAAATCAAAATCATTTCCAAAACTGTCAAAAAAATGTTTTGGTTTCTTTTCTATTTTTTTTTGTTTCTCCAAAAATTTTCGTCCAGCTCTACCATTTACGTCCTGCTCACAGCCTACATTTGCTCGCACGCGCACATACACACACACTTCTCTGTGTGTTCCAAGCATGATTCATAATTAAACTGAAGTAATTAAGATTTATTAATTGTATTACAGTAGCAATGAACAGGCCCAGTTCTGACTGGGGCCCCAATGCATCGAGCGCTACATAAACACATAGAAAGACCTGGTCTCTGTGCCAAAGAGTTTACAATCTAAATAAGACAAAACAGAGAAAGAGACAGACTACAGATAAGGAGATGACTGAAAGTTTTCCCCACCTATATATTACCAAATACATATATGAAGTACAGCTAGACTGACAGAGGGATATGCATGGTGATTACGACTGGCTAAAACACATGCTGTCTAAACTTTTTATTGATGGAAATTTGAATTTTGACTAACGCATTTTTCATGAAAAGGAAAATATCTGATTTCTGAGGAAAATATCAATTTTTCATCTAAAAGACAAAACAAAACAAAAAGCAAAACCCTGAGCTCCCTCAAAATGAAATGTTTTGATTTGGAAAATCTGCCAAGGTTGCTTCATGTGAATTGTAGTTCAGTTGCTTCATATCCCCATTCTCCTCTATGGGCCGGGTTCCCCAGCTGGGTTTCATCTCCCATGATGCATTGTGGCCATGGGACTTCCATGATTCACCACCTTCCCTCAGCAAGGCATCATGGGAGATGTTGGCCAATTAAGGAGCCTGGCCCATAAAGGAGAATGGGGGCAAGAAACACACAAACTACATCTCCCATGAGGCACCATGGTGTCATTTCAGAATTGAAATATTTCCATTTTGCATTTAAAAGTTGAAATTTCCTGTGAAAAATTTCAACAAAAGCATTTTACCCCCTCATTTTCATTATAATTTTCCATGGGAAATCCCAGTTTCTGACCAACTTTAATGTGATTAGATAGATAGATATCTATCTATCTATCTATCTATCTATCTAAGAGCAGGAGTAGTCAATAGGTGGACCATGGGCCAAATAATAAGTAAATAACATTTTGGGATCTGTTCAAAAGTTCCACCACCAGACACGTTGAACAGATCCCAAAATGTTATTTACTTATTATCATTATTGTTAGAATTTTTAAAATTAATTTCCCTTGAGTCTGGACCTTGACTATACCTTGACCAAGAAATTTGGACTTTGAGAAAAAATAACTGACTACCCCTGGGTTAGAGGGTATTAAATCCCCCTTAATCCCTCAAAATAGAGCACAAATGGGACTGAAGTGGGGCTTTGCCCTTGGTCTGGACTCTGCATATGGGTGAAAGAACAGGAAACATCCCTTGAAACACATTTGTGAATGCTATTTCCTGTTTTGTGACCAGCTGCATGGAGCGGGAGCTACAGGATTTTTGTCCATCACTATGGAGAGCTCCAAAATACAGGAATTGCCCAGAATGTATGTGTGTGTGGGGAGGGAGGGGGGTGGAGGGCGGGGAGGGGAGGCGGGGGGAATACACCAGATGGCCCAGCTACCTTGTTATCCCCCCTCCTGCCACCCCAGAGAACCAGAGGCCGTCATCACTTTGGGTAGTTTGGGGCTTTAAGAAAAATAAAATTTCCCTTTGGCTCCCAATTCCTCGCAATCCCAGACAAACAATCCATTCATGTAGTCCCAGCTGCTTCACCACAACCCCTGCTTCCTAAGGCAGCCACTCCCTCCCCAACTCAAATACACACCAATCCCCTTATACTCCTAAGCAATGTGGGCTGAGATTTTCAAAGGAACCTAAGGGACTTAGGCCCCCAAATCCCAGGGAAATTCAATGGCAGTTCACTAACCCCATGCTACCTATCTATGATGCTGAGAGAGCTCCCATCGCTGTAGCATCTGGGCACCTCACAACCTTCAGTGCATTTGTCCTTGCATACCTCTGTCAGGCAGGGCAGAGCTATAACCCCATTTTACAGATGGGGGACTGAAACCCACACACACGAAGGGCCAGGTTTACAAAGGTACCTACGTGCCTAAAGCTGCAGATAGGCACCTGGAGGGATTTTTCGAAAGCACCAGAGGAGGTTAAGCACTAGAGCTAGCCAAAAACATTCGGAAGGAATGGTTCTCTGTTGGAAGGGGCATTCTGTCAAAATAGGAGAAATGGATTAGTTCTGATGAAATTTCATTGAGGAAAAATTAAATGAGATTGAAACATGCCTAGAAGGCTGAAAGGTTCCATTTCTACCTTTTGGGGAGGGACCATTTTGATTTTCCTTTTAAAATGATTTTTTGTTTTTTGTTTAGTGTATATATATAGTGTGTGTGTGTGCGCGTGTATATATATATACACATATACACACACCTCTACCCCGATATAATGCGACCCAATATAACACGAATTTGGATATAACGCGGTAAAGCAACGCTCCGGAGGGGCGGGGCTGCGCGCTCCGGCGGATCAAAGCAAGTTCGATATAATGCAGTTTCACCTATAATGCAGTACGATTTTTTGGCTCCCGAGGACAGCGTTATATCGGGGTAGAGGTGTATAAACATATAAAGTCACAACCAGAACATGATGGAATTTTGTTGCATGGGAAATTTCTACTTTTTTTGGTTCCCTTTTGGAACTGAATTTTTAGGCATCTTTAAGCACCCAAATACCTTTAAAATCTGGCCCTAAAGCCCATTTAAATCAATAGGAGTCAGGAGCCTAAATACCTTTGACGATCTGGGCCTAAGTGATTTGTGGCAGAGCAAGAAACTGACCCTGGGCTAGTCCTCAGGGCTGCGCTCTACCATGCCTCTGGGTGGGGCCAGGTCCCCCATCACAGGTGCGTCTTCTGGTGCCTCTGGAGCAGCGGGTCACTGACACAGCACTTGCCCAGGTAGGGCCCGTCCCTGGCACAGGCTCCCGGGGGCTGGCGGCAGGGTTTCCCATCCCTATGGGTGCGCTGGTGCGTCAGGAGGGTGGAGTTCTGGCTGAAGCCCCTCCCGCAGGCAGCGCAGCGGTAGGGTGCCTCCCCGGTGTGGGTGCGCAGGTGCACAAAGAGGGTGGAGCTCTGGGAGAAGCGTTTCCCACAGCGGGCGCAGGGGTAGGGTCTCTCGCCCGTGTGGACGCGCTGGTGCCGGGTCAGGTTGGAGCTGGCGCTGAAGCTCTTCCCGCAGTCGGCGCAGGCATAGGGCCGCTCTCCTGTGTGCACGCGCCGGTGCAGGGTCAGGTAGGCGTTGCGGCCAAAGCCCTTCCCGCACTCGGGGCAGATGAAGGACTTCCCCTCCTCCTCTGGGGCAGGAAGTAGCTCCCCGGCGTGGGTGCGCTGGTGCCGGGCGAAGTTGGACCGCTCGTGGAAACCCTTCCCGCAGTGGGGGCAGGTGTGGGGCTTCTCCTGGCGGTGGGTGCGGCGGTGCCGGGCCAGCGTGGAGCCCTCCCGGAAGCTCTTCCCACACTCGGGGCACCGGTGGGGCTTCTCCCCTGTGTGGGAGCGCAGGTGCTGCATGAGGTGGGAGCTCTGTCCGAAGCGCTTCCCACAGGCATCGCAGGCATAGGGGCGCTCCCCCGTGTGGATGCGCCGGTGGGTGGCCAGGGCCGAGCGGACAGGGAAGCCTTTCCCGCACTCGGGGCACTGGTGGGGACGGTCGCCGTGGGACCGGCGGTGCTTAGTGAGGTCTGAGCCGCGCCGGAAGCCTTTCCCGCACTCTCTGCATATGTTGGGCCGCTCCCTGGCCTGGCCCTGACTCTCCACGGCTCCACCACAGGGAGGGGATGGGCCCCGGACGGGGTGCGGCCCAGTGCCTCGCTCACACTCCGACTCCGAGGGCGAGTTTCTCTGCTGCCTTCCTGAACCGCTCTCAGTCACACAGGCTGCTCCCTGACCAGGGCTCTGCAGCTGCTCAGGGGTGTCCTGCTGCGGCCTCTCCTCCTCCTCCCTCACCATCCCCTCGGCAGCTGCAATCGAGAGAATCCAGACACGAGTCAGTGCCTCTGCGGGCAGAAAGGGAGTGTCAGGAATGGGGATGCTAAAGGGAGTGTCACAAAGGAATTGAGAGGGTCAAAAATCAGAAGCTGATTCCCCAAACCCTCCGTCCTCCCAGAGGAGAGAGAGGAGGGCCAGGCCTATCCCCGCAGCCTATCTGAGCACACAGGGGAAGGGAGCTCCAGCATGTCTCAGGCAGGGTGGGCAGGAAGCGCTGAGTTGCGTCCGCCATGAGGATATGACACCTGCTGGGGACAATCCTGACCTGGCTGAGACGAGGCAGAACTGGGGGAGTTCCCGAAGGCTTGGATGGTTTCCAAGTTAGTTTAACTAAATCCTCACCTCTGTGGCTGCATCTTGGGACCTCCCTGTCCTCAGAGCGCTGGGGATCTGGGACCCACGGCTCCTCCCCTCCTTCCAGCTGGGAGATCACAAGGGATTTGGGAACGGGAAACCCTGCCCGTGGTAGAAAATGGGAGAGGTTGAGGCTGGTATTCATGTTGTGCTTCTCATGCAGACAGTTCTCTGCTTTCATATCAGCCCCTTTCTTTGCTGGGCGAGGGGGCGCTTGAGACAAAGCAACTGGAAAATATTCATGGAGACCCACTCTGTAGGGTCACACATCCAGTGGCAGACAAACGGGGTCCTCTGCAGTCCATTTAAGGCTCCCCCATGCATGCATGCGTGCGCGCACACACACACACACACACACACACGTCCCTGGGGCGTAAAAATCCACCTGCCCGTTTCACAGTGTAATAGAACAGTGGACAGACTTTTTAAGGTGTACAATGGGAACCTGGTCAGCCCAGCGCAGTTCCAGGCTGCTTGGTCAAAAGACCAAGTCACTGAACTGGAAGAGCAGGAATGAATAAGGAAGCAACTGCTGACCTTAGCTTTTCTGCCTGAGGCTGGAATGGTACAAGTAGCTCCAGAGAAGCTGGCGCTCTGCTTGCCAGTGATGGGCCAAGATGGCTTCCGGGAGTTCCAGGCAGTCGCCCTCAGATGTCTTTGCCCAAGAGCAGGGCATGCTGGGAAATGTAGCTCACTCTGGTAGCTATGTCAACAGTGTGCCCTTGTTGCCAAGAAGGCTAATGGCATATTGGGCTGCATTAGAGGGACCATTGCCAGCAGACTGAGGGAAGTGATTATTCCCCTCTATTCAGCACTGGTGAGGCCACATCCGGAGTACTGTGTCTAGTTTTGGGCCCCCCACTACAGAAAGGATGTGGACAAATTGGAGAGAGTCCAGCAGAGGGCAACGAAAATGATTAGGGGCCTGGGGCACATGACTTACAAGAAGAGGCTGATGGAACTGGGCTTATTTAGTCTGCAGAAGAGAAGAGTGAGCGGGGATTTGATAGCAGACTTCAGCTATCTGAAGGGGGGTTCCAAAGAGGATGGAGCTAGGTTGTTCTAAGTGGTGGCAGATGACAGAACAAGAAGCAATGGTCTCAAGTTGCAGCGGGGGAGGTCTAGCTTGGATATTAGGAGAAACTATTTCACTAGGAGGGTGGTGACGCATTGGAATGGGTTACCTAGGGAGGCGGTGGAATCTCCATTCTTAGAGGTTTTTAAGGCCTGGCTTCACAAAGCCCTGGCTGGGATGCTTTAGTTGGGGTTGGTCCTGCTTTGAGCAGGGGTTGGACTAGATGACCTCCTGAGTTCTCTTCCAGCCCTAATCTTCTATGATTCTATGTCAATGTCCTAGAGTGGGCCAAAGCATGCTGGGAAATCAGGGGAAGGACATGAATCCTGCCCTTACCGCAAAGACCTGGAACAGAGCTGGTGAGGAAATTTTTGACACAATGATTTTTTTTATCAGAAAATGCCAATTTATGGAAACCAATTTCTCAGGTCCAAGATAGAGCCTAGGGTCAGAGAGCCCCATCCATTCCAATGGGTAGGGAATGTGACTGGGATCTAGATTCGAGTCCCGGGCCAGAATCTAGCAGAGCAGCAAGTTCAGTCTATACCTCCTGCACCCCAGGCAGAGCCCGGATTTCTCTCACTCTTTGTGAACTTCCCCCATTGGAGCTGTTCCACTTTGAATGAACAATTAAATATTCATTGGGCCTACGTAAGAAAAATTGTTTCCACAGCCTGGGGGTTAGGGCACCCCAGAGGGACTGGGCTGAGCCAGGTCTCTGCTCCAAATCAGAGCCTTGCAAACAGGGAAGTCATGGGAGGGAGCTCTTCAGGTGCAGGAGGAGTGACTAGGTGATCCTGGGGGTGACTTTGTTGTGTTAGCTTGTTGTGTGCCTGCTTGATTTATGTTTATAGTGTGGTCTGTTTTGGAGGCTGTGTACTGAGCCTAGTGGCCTGCTAGGCTAGGCTGAGACCTTACTAACGAGGCTCTAGCCGGCCATCCTTTGATCCCTTGACAAGGAGCAAGGCTAACTCAGGGAAAAGAGGGGTTTAAAAAACCTGCTCCTAAGTGACCAGAGGAGCTAGTGAACAGGGGAGTTTTGCAAGGCAACTTAGAGGGGGAGCCTGAGAGCAAGCTACACTTAACAGACATACTCTAAACTTAGGCCTATAACCCCCCCACACACACATCCCCAAAAAACCCCAAAGCAAAAACAAAAACCCCAAAGAACGAACAAGCAAACAAACCCAGGAAAAGCAAAAAAGAATGCAGGCAGAAGCCCAGCAGCAGTGTGGGGGCTATCCAGTTTATTGCCCTGAATGAAGCATGTATGATTATCTGCCTTGTGGGTGGGTTACGGTGGCATACTTTTGCACTCGGTGAAAAGAGCTCATGGCCCTCAGAGACTGAGTACGGGCTGTGGAGACCAGAGTGGCTGAACTGGAGGAGCTAAGGGAGACAGAGAGGTACGTAGATGAGACTTTCCAGGACACAGCAGAACGGTCCCACCCCCAGTCTGACAGTCTCTGTGCTGTTGAGGAGGATGGAAGTCTCGGGGAAGGAGAACATCCAACTGGAGCAGAGGGAAAAGATTCCAGATGATGTCACGGTATTCCAGTTATTAGGAAGAGCCAGGTAATAGTTACAGGGGAGTCGATCATTAGAAATATAGGTAGCTGGGCTTGTGATGACCGGGAGAACTGCATGGTGAACTGCCTGCCTGGTGCGAGGGTTGCAGATCTCTCAAGAAATCTAGATAGACATGTGTGCAATGCTGGGGAGGAGCTGGTGGTCCATGTAGGTACCAATGACATAGGGAAGGATAGGAGAGAGGTCCTGGAGGCCAAATTTAGGCTTCTGGGTAAGAGATTGAAGTCCAGGTCCTCTCTCTGAAGCTGAAACACTTCCTGTTCCACATGCAGGGCCAGCTAGATAGGCAGAACTGCAGGGTCTCAATGTGCAGATAAAATGAGGTGTAGGGAGGAATGATTTAGGTTTATTAGGAAGTGGGGAACCTTTTGGGGAAGGGGGAGCTGTCATAAATATAAAGGGAAGGGTAACAACCTTCCTGTATATAGTACTATAAAATCCCTCCTGGCCAGAGGCACAAAATCATTTTACCTGTAAAGGGTTAAGAAGCTCAGGTAACCTAGCTGGCACCTGACCAAAAGGACCAATAGGGGGACAAGATACTTTCAAATAGGGTGGGGGGAGGAGAAAGAGAGAAAGGCTTTGTTTTGTCTGTTCTTTGTCCTTGCCGGAGACAGATCAAGGAAGCAAAGCAATCCAACTCCATTAGGATTAGTAAGTACTAGCGAGGGAATGCGTTAGCTTACTTTTATTTTGGCTTGTGATTTTCTCTGTGCTGAGAGGGAGGTGTATTCCTGGTTTTCTTTTTTGTAACTTTAAAGTTTTGCCCAGAGGGAAATCCTCTGTGTTTTGAATCTGACTGCCCTGTGAGATTATCTTCCATTCTAATTTTACAGAGGTGCTTCTTTTAACCTTTTTCTTTCTAATAAATTTCAGTGTTTTTTTTTTTTTTAATTTGTTTGGTTTTTTTAGTGGTCTAAAAAAACCCAAGGTTGGTTTGTGCTCATCTTGTTTATTCTCAAGCCTCCCCAGAAAAGGGGGTGAGGGCTTGGGGAAATATTAGAGGAAAGTAGGAACTCCAAGTGGTCCTTTCCCTGAGTTTTGTCTAATCACTTGGTGGGGGCAGCGTTACCTAATCCAAGGTACAAGGGAGAATTTGTGCCTTGGGGAGTTTTTAACCTAAGCTGGTAGAAATAAGCTTAGGGGGTCTTTCATGAGGGTCCCCACAGCTGTACCCTAGAGTTCAGAGTGGGGAGGGAACCCTGACAGGAGCCTACACAGGAAGGATGGGCTCCACCTAACCCAAAACAGAACCAGATTGCTGGCATGTATAATTAAAAAGATTGTGGGGGCATTTTTAAACTAAGGGCTGGGGGAAAGCTGATGGGTGAGGAGGAACACACAGTCCAGACAGACACAGCCCTTAGGAGAGGATTTATTAAAGAGGATACTCCTCATTCTAGTAAAGAGGAGAGGATATAAAGTACTGTACATGTAGGAAGTGAAAAAAAAAAAAAAAAAAAATAAAAAAAAAAAAAAACAACAAAGAAACGTCAAAGCAAGGCAGTCAACTAAATATTGCTTGTGTGCAAATGCCAGAAGACTACATACTAAGAGGGGTGAACTTGAGTGCTTGGTATTAAATGAGGATATTGATATAATAGCCACCACAGAAATTTGACTGAATGATGTTAATCAGTGGGACACAGGAACACCAGGGTACAAAATATATAGGAATGACAGAGTAGGTCTCACTGGTGGGGGAGTGACACTACATGTGAAAGAAAGCATAGAGTCAAATACAGCAAAAATCTTAAAAGAATCAAACTATACCATATAATTTCCATGGATAGAAATTCCATAGTTGAATACTAAGAGTGTAGCAGTAGGGATATACTACCGACCATCTGACCAGGGTGGTAATGGTGACTGTGAAATGATCAGGGAGATTAGAGAGGCCACAAAAACAGATCACCCAATCATAATCAGGGATTTCAACTACCCTGTTTTGACTGGGTATGTCCCCTCAGGATGGGAGGGAGAGAGAAATTTCTAGACACCATGAATGGCTGCTTCTTGAAGGAACTAGTTCTGGAACCCACAAGGGGAGAGGCAATTCTTGATTTAGTTCTAAATGGCGCACATGATCTGGTCCAAGAGGTGAATATAGCTGAACTGCTTGGTAATAGTGACCGTAATGTAGTTAAATTTAACACCCTTGCACAGGGGTGGATTAGGGTTTTGTGGGGCCCTGGGCCAGAACAAGTGTCCTCCCCATCCCTTCCGAGCTCCTGCCGGGGAGTAGGGTTGGGGCATGGGGGCTTGGAGACTGGAGGATAGTTAATGTAACATCAATTTTTTAAAAAGGCTCCAAAGGCAGCCCTGGCAAATACAGGCTTGTAAGCCTACCTTCAGTACTAGGTAAATTGGTAGAAACTATAGTAAAGAACAGGTCAGACACATAGATGAATACAATAAGCTGGGGAAGAGACAACGTGGCTTTTGTAAAGGCAAATTGTGCCTCACCAATTTATTAGAATTCCTTGAAGGCATCAACAAACATGTGGTGGACAAGGGTGATCCAGTTGATACAGTGTATGTGGACTTTCAGAAAGCCTTTGACAAGGTCCCTCACCAAAGGCTCTTAAGCAAACTAAGCAGTCATGGGATAAGAGGGAAGGTCCTCTCATGGATCAGTAATTGGTTAAAATACAGGAAACAAGGGTAGGAATAAATGATCAGTTTTCAGAATAGAAACAGGTAAATAGCGGGCTCCCCAGGGATCTGTACTGGGACCTGTGGTGTTCAATACATTCACAAACGATCTGGAAAAGTGAATAAACAGGGAGGTGGCAAAGTTTGCAGACAATTCTAAATGACTCAAGATGCTTAAGAGCAAAGTTGACTGTGAAGAGCTACAAAGGGCTCTCACAAAATTGGGTGACTGGGCAACAAAATGGCAGATGAAACTCAATGCAAAGTAATTCATATTGGAAAACATAACCCCAACTACACATACAAAATAAGAGAGTTTAAATTAGCTGTTACCACTCAAGAAAGAGATCTTGAAGTCACTGTAGACAGATCTCTGAAAACATCTGCTCAAAGTGCAGCAACAGGCAAAAAAAGCTAACAGAATGTTAGCAATCATTAGGAAAGGGATACATAATAAAACAGAAAATATCATAATGCCACTATATAAATCCATGGTACACCCATACCTTGAATACTGCATTCAGGTCTGGTCGCCCCATCTCAAAAAAGTTATATTAGAATTGGAAAAAGTACAGAAAAGGGCAACAAAAATGATTAGGATGTGGAACAGCTTCCATACAATGAAAGACTGAAAACACTGGAACTGTTCATCTTAGAAAAGAGGTGAGTTCCCTCATGCCTGGGCTTCTAGCTATTCTGGGTGGATCTCTCTGCAACAGAATTTCAAAAGGTCTCATTTTTTGTCCTGATGCGGATGGGACAAAAAACAAACCAAAAAAACTCCCAAACCCTTTGAAATCTCAAAATTTTCACAAGACGGGAAAACGATTTCTCATCTAGCTCTACCTGAAAGGTCTACAAGCACCTACATGGGCAGGAGATTTCACATAGTAGTCAGGTCTTTAATTTAGTAGGCAAAAGTAGTGACAAGGTCCAACGCTGGAAGCTGAAGCTAGATAAATTCAAGATGGAAATAAGATGCACAGGTTTAACGGTGAGGGGGATTAACCACTGGAACAATTTACCCAGGGACAGGGTGTGTTCTCCATCATTTGGAGATTTCAAGTCAGGACCAGATGTCTTTCTAAAAAATACCCTCCAGTTCAACCACAAGATATTGGGAATCTCTGGGTAAAATTCGCTGGCCTGTGTGATGCAGGTTGGACTAGATGGTTATAATGATGTCTTCTTTCTGAAGCAGGCTGTGCCGATGGCCTCCCCTGAACACTGACAGCTAATAAACCCACTCTCTTTTGTGTTGTTTTAAGGCAGGCATCTCCGACCAATGTGTCGGACACAATTACTAAGAGGCTAGGGAGAAATATTGTCGCCTTGAATTGAAACAAAGTCTGTGAGGGCGAACTCTATTTTCTTTACAGATCCCACAGATGTGCCTTGTCTCTGTGTGTGTCAGCACCTGTCACACTAGCTTTTCAGGCTGTAAACTCCTCAGGTCACAGACTGTCATTTACTATATGTTTGTACAGTGCTTAGCAGAATGGGGCCCTGGCCTCTTGGACCTCTGCGCACTACTGCAAGCTAAATACTCACACTAATAATAATGATTAAGAAGAGGACAGGGAACCATTGGGGGTTTAAACCACTATCAGGAATTTATAATAAATAAATAAATTAATGGAGATATCCTATCTCCTAGAACTGGAAGGGACCTTGAAAGGTCATCGAGTCCAGCCCCCTGCCTTCACTAGCAGGACCAAGTACTGATTTTCCCCAGATCCCTAAGTGGCCCCCTCAAGGATTGAACTCACAACCCTGGGTTTAGCAGGCCAATGCTCAAACCACTGAGCTATTGGGGGAATAAAGTGAGCGTGTTCCTGTTCAAATCACTAGAGATATTAAGAGAAGCATCCCTGGTGGGTCTCAGAATCTTCTGGCCCATGAGAAGAGATGTGGAGGATGTGTCTCTCATATGGGATCTGGGGACTATGAAATGTATCCCTAAGATGTGGGGTCTCTTAAGCACCTGCACTGGCTTCTGCTCAGGGTTCCTTCCCTGCTCCCTTATAAGAACATAAGACTGGAAGAGGCCCCCATGGTCACAAGCTGTACCCGAGGCGACAGGAATCCTTACCCAGTGAGGCCACAGCCTCATAATTCTCCTGCATGACGTCCCTGTAGAGGGCTCTCTGACCTGGGACCAGCAGAGCCCACTGCTCCTTGGTGAAATACACAGCCACCTCCTCGAAGGTCACCGGCTCCTGGAATAGCAAGAATCCCTCATTCAAAGCTTCCTGCTCCAGCCACAGTCCCACCAGCTCATCACGGGAGACCTGGTTGAGCCCTCTGCTGAATTCTGCCCTGCAGGGATCGGTGTAGTTCCCATGAACCCTAGCTTAGAGTTAGAATCACCTTCCAAAAGGTCCTCACCCCACTTTCCTTGTACCCCACAGACTCTTGATGGCTCCATCCCTGCTTTCGTTACTCACAGAAGCATCAATGGAGCGGGGCAGAAAACAGGATTTATTTATTTTTTTGGGTAAAAATTCAAATACTGAAAAAAATTGGACAAAATCTGAACTAGTTCAATTCCGAAATGCAGGTCAAAAAACCGTCCCCCCACCAACCTACTCCTATGGAAAATGGTATCCAAAACCAGAAATATTTTGATTTGGAAATGCTGCCCTGGTGCCTCATGGGAGTTGTAGTCTGTGGGCCTCAAGCTCAGGGCCGGCTCCAGGGTTTTTGGCGCCCCAAGCAGCAAAAAAAAAAAAGCAAAAGAGAAAAAAAAAGCCGTGATCGCGATCTGCGGCACTTTGGCGGCAGCTCTACCGCCAGCGCTTATTTGGCGGCAGGTCCTTCGCTCCGACGGGGAGCGAGGGACCTGCCGCCGAATTGTCGTTGAAGAGCCAGACGTGCCGCCCCTCTCCGTTGGCCGCCTAAAGCACCTGCTTGCTGGGGTGGTGCCTGGAGCCGGGCCCGCTCAAGCTGCCATCCTCAGTAGGATTCCCTGATTGCACTATGTGGCTCAGACAGTCCCAGACATAACTGTGCTGGTCTCTACTACCAAAGAGCAGTAGGGCCAAAACAGGGCCTGTAGCAGAAATGAGACGTTCCTTCAGAAACTCCCAGCAGCCCCTACCCATAAGGGAGTTTAAATATGGCTTCAGGACCTTCAGGGGCTTGGGTTCACCTTCCACACCACAGGAGGATTCCCAACCCTCCAGGACAGGTTTGTATCCAAAGCATAAGGGCCTGTTTGACCCCAGCCTTTTGCTGCCTTCTTCTCGTTTCCACGAACTCCAATATGAATGCCCTACCTGAGCCAACTCTACTCCAGCCATGTCCCTGCCCCATGCCCCGGGAGGGTAGTGCAGTCTGGAATAGACCGGATGTGGTTCTTCAGCCTGTCAGGGTAAGAAGATGGGGCAGGTTTCAGAAGGGGGTTTAGGCCATTTCACACCCTGATTCCCACCAGGCCTTTTCCCTGCAGACAGATGCTCATGACTCGGTGGTGGTGGGAAAAGGCTTGGTCACTTCATGCCAGTGCAGACCCAGATCCTCCCACCAGGACTGCCACATTTCAACCCCCCACTCGCCCCAATACCAGAGTCTCTGAACCAAATACTAGAAAAGAGATGAAAGGAGCCGCTTTGGGGGATCCCCCTGACACTGTCCCCAGGGCAGCACATTCCCCCAGCAGCGCGGGGACCAGGCAGAGGCAGGAACTGGCTTTTCCTCTCCCTGCTCCTCCCCAGGAAAGTCAATCTGCCCCGAGGTGCTGCAGGGAATGGGGCTGGGCAGTGCTGGGAGCCGGGAACCTCCTTCTCCACCTATTGCTCCTGCTGCCCCTGCCAGTCTCTTCCTCCTGCCTTCTCCCTTCCCCTCGGGCTGGGAGACTCGGTCCCTGGCCCGGGCCGTTCGCTCTCCCGGAGCTGGCGCGGCTCCTGCAGGCGCTCAGGGGAGCAGAGCCGGGGGGGATCAGGGAGGGCAGCAGCTCTGGGACTCGCAGACCCCCCGCCCGGGAGCAGAGCTGGGCGAGGAGGGGCCGCTGGTGCAGAGTCACTTTCCTGCCCGGCCCCAGCCCTTTCCCCCGGGTCTCTCCCCTCACCTGGCGTCTGTGGCTCAGGGGCTGGTGTCGGCAGAACCTGGGGCTGGTTCCAGTCACCGGAGAAAGTCTCCCCGGCTGGGCACAGAGGGGCGTTGTCTCTCTCCCGACTGAGAAGCGGCGGCTGCTCAGCCCCGGCTCCGGTACATGACAATGGAGAGGTCATTAATGTCTCACCCCGGAAGCTCAATTGCTGATATCCTGATCTGAGTGCAGAAAGAGCAGCCCTCTCCCACAGCTTTATCTAGAGCCCTCCTGTGGCAACAGCTAATTTCTACACTAGAGATAGATTTGCGCAGACCTCCTCCTGGGGATGCAGCTTATACAAGCAAAGATGTGCTTTTGCCAGCAGAGCTTAAACCAGCTGCTGCCCAACCAAAATAAGCTGCAGGGACACAGCTGAAGCACTGTGATGCTGATATAACTGTGTCTGCACTATAGAAATGTCGCTAAGAAAATCACCCCTCTAAGTGTAGTTTAGACCTGGCCTTTAAAACCTCAGGGCTAGTCTCCAGTGCTTAATTTGTGCCAGGGCTTGCCAGCGCTGAGCCCTGGCACCTGTGGGCTTGGCAGTTCATAGCTCGAGCACTCTGGTCTTGCTGCATCAGTTATTAATGTAAAAAAATTGCTTGTGCCCTGGCACCTCTTTCATTACAAATTAAGCACTGCTAGTCTCCCCCAGTGTCACTGGGTATTGTAGCATTCAATACATGTCTCTGCTAGCAGCAGCTCTCACAGGCAGGGGGCATGTTCCAGCAGCCTCTGTGTCTCCCATCCCAGCGAAGGTTTTGATCTGGTGGAACTGTCCCACATGCATGTGTGCTAGGGTGGAAGGGTGAGTGGGGACAGGGAGTATGGGTATCTGTACCCCACTATGGACACTGCTGCAGAGAGAGATGGGCAGGGCTGGAGGACTGGAACTTGGGAGAGCAGAATTCCTGCCCAATCCAAAGGTTTTGAGTCTCCTGGGATTCTTTGGGACTTCTGCGATTTCTTGCAGACTTTACTCTGCAGAGATCCTGTCAGAGCCACACTGCGGCACTGGTGTCTCGGCAATCCGAGACATGCTGCTACAAGAGCTCCAAGAGAATTTGGAATGGTAATATTAATAGCCACTGCATGTTCACTCTGAAACCGAATGACACCAATTCTCCTGCCAATCTTGTTAAGCAATTCCTTGCTAGTCTCAGGACTCTTCGCCTCTTATTGGCTCACCATTATTTCAAGACAGTGGGAGTTAAATCCTTTATTTCATAGATGTTTAAGGTCAGAGGGGATCATTGTGATCATCCAGTCTGATCTCTTGCATAGCTCTTGCCAGAGAAGAAAGACAAGGCCATATGACCCAGCTTTTATAACATAGGGTCATACTTTCTTGGTTATTCAAAGATAAATATATCAGGTGGGATTCACAAAGGTATTTAGGCATCTAATTCCCATTACACCATGCTTCTGGGCTAGAGAGTTGCACACTTCATTGTTTATGTAGTCTGAGCTTAACTGTCAGCAGGGCCTCTCACCTCCTACTCTGGTCAGAACCTGATTGATTATGGATTTCCATAAAAATTGGGCATTTCTAGTTTTCCAATTTCCACTCTAATCAAAAGGGTTCTGACCAGAATGAGGGGAACAAAGGAGATGGCTGAAGTAGGGACAAGACCAAATTTTGGGGATGCCTGCAGTTGAGGTGGGGGGCAGGGCTTAAATTCAGCCAGAGCCATCTGGAGCGGAACTCCGGTCCATATTTTTAAACCCATGGGAGCCCCCATGTACCCTGCAGGGCAGAAGCCCCGAGTGCCGGTGCGCCCCGTGGGGCCAAAATGTAACGAGAGGTCTGGACTTGACATGACCCACAGCCTTCTTGTGTATGGACTTAGCATAACCCGCAGACATCTTGTATGCTCAGTCACCATAAATTAGAAACAAAAACTATAGAGTCAGGAGAATTTGACCTTGATGCAGGTGGACAGATAGAAAAGTATCAGCTGCAGCATTACTAACAGGGATAGCTAGATATTCACAAAGTCGGGGGGGCGGGGGGATGGAGAACTAACCTTGAGTTTCTGTAGTTTCTTCCTGATAATAAAAAGTATGAGGTTTTGCTGTTGCAAGTGTATCCCACTAAGGAAGCATAAAGAGAAGTGACCTTGAGAACTTTTTACTGACTTTGAAAAATGCAAAAGCTAACAAGTAGGCGGTCTTAGGCACGTGAACCCCTATATAGTGAGAACGATTGGTTAGTGGGTTTTGCATAGCTATGTTTTAAGTAAAATAATTGGTTAAGGCATAAATAAGAGAGAATCTCATTTTAATTATATAATGAGGGTCAGAAAAGAAGCTTGTTGAAGCTTAACTCCAGAATACTGCTCAAGACCAAAGCTACTAGGATTTTTAAACCCTGCATGACCAGACTGTGGAGAAGCCGGAACCCAGATGACATGACCCTGACTGGCCATCGGGAGACGTCTATCTTATTGGGAGTGGTGAGCATAAGATACTTGGTGTGTGTATTCTGTTGATTTGTTGCTAATTGTTAATAAATGCATGTACATATTTAAGGATATTCACTGTGTGAAGGCACTGGGAAAAGGCCTCGCAGATCAATAGAGCTCTGAGTCCATCAGGAATGAATGTTAGCCCTGAGCCCAGGAAGGAGTAGAGCCCTGAGCCCACAGAGGGGTAAAGTTGGGTCCCTTATGTCCTGAGTACCCATGAGGATGGGTAGGGGTGGAATCTAAAATTGTGTGGGTAAGAGACACGCCGAGCCCCGGCATGCCCCACGGGGCAGAAGCTCCAAGCCCCGGCGTGCACAGTGGGGCTGAAGTCCCAAGCCCTGGGGCTCCTGCAAATACTCCAGGAGAATTTAAGCCCTGTTGGGGGGCGAGGAGCCCAACTAAAAGAGGGCTAGCCAGAGTGGGGGGAGGGGCCACTAACCCTAATCTAACTCTCACATCACAGCCGCACACCTGTATCCTGAGGGACCCAATGTGATTTTACAGTTTTCTGATTTTCCCCAAAGTCAGTAGGGTTCTGTCCATTAATGCCTAGGACATTCCCTGAAATTTTGGAATTGATCAGATATGGCTTTCAAAAGTTGTCATGTTAGTTACACATAGACAAGAGAGAAATGCCATTGAGTTGAGTACAGAAGGTCCTTGTTACTTAACCAATGAAACCAGTGCATAGACAAACCCACCAGCTTAATCTGACAGGTCACAACGCCTGGTTGTTCAGGGTAGATAGAATCTTCAGTCCAGCTCACGGACGTTCTAGGCCTCATCTACACGCTGGCAATTAAAATGGCATAGCTGCAGCACTGTGGTTACACTGGTATAACCCTATAGTGCAGACGTAGCGCACAGCAAGAGAAGGGGTTTTTCCGTTGCTGTAGGAACACTCCCTCTCCAAGTGACAGTAGCTGGGTTAATGGAAGCATTCTTCCATGGACCTAGCTGCATCTGTGCCAGGGTTAGGTTGGCATAGCTACAGTGCGCAAGGATGTGGATTTTTCACACCCGAGTGCCATAATTATATCAACCTACATATTAAGTGCAGACCAGGCCTTCCCTGCCTCAGCTGTAGTCTTGTTCGGTCCCGATAATGCTGCTTTCTTCTCTGGGTTGCACTCATATTGGGACAGGACACCAGCCCTGCTCAGAAGCTACCATTCTGGGCTCCAGCATGTCAGTTCCAATTTCCTTTGTCAAAAGTAAAGCCTAGATTAATGAAGGGATAGGCATTTTGACACTGAACGTCACAGTGCCGAACATTTAGGCACATAAAAGCCACAGGAACACCCCTGCTATCCATAAAGCCTGAGGTAGGTGCCCAGGCTCAATGAATGGGGAGAGGCATGTGCCTTAAATTGCAGGGAGCCACGTAAGCTCGCTAGTGGGAGATTCCGATGAAAGGAGTGGTGTGCAACCTCCACCGCCATGGAGATAGGGCCTAAATCCAGGCTGCAGGGAACCCTCTCTTGGAGTTAGGCACCTGAGGCAATAATCCAGTGCTAGGAGCATGGGATTAGAATTAAGATGCCTAAAACTGGATATTAGGTATTTAAGTACCTTTGTGAGTATAGGCCACAGTCTCTCTGTATTGTGTGTGCAAATACCACCTTGAAAATGTGAGCAGAGTCCTGCTTCACACACAACTTTGCACTGACTTAACGGGTTAAAGAAATGATTTAGTAAAATCAGTGTAACCCTCACATTTGAAGAGTGGTTTATTTCAGTTAACTTCACCCTCCCTATTCATTATCGACTGAAGCTACACTGCAATTGGCCACTCTTAAACCAAAATAAGAATGTCCACAAGTGAGTTTGCATTGATTTAACTAAATCATTTTAAATTCACACCTTATATTAACATGTTAGCACAACTTCCTTCAGTACCCAAGTACAGAGTGTCAAAGATCTGCCAGTTAATCTGTAGGCTTTGATAATTTCCACTCACCATATTTGCCAATATGCAATTCACCAATAAATAGTCCATTCTGTTGACAAAATGTGAACGTCACTAACAACTGTACCACAAACCATAAACTTACGACTGTGTTCTCCTTTCCCTGGTACAGAACCCCACCCACCCCAGAGATAAGCTGCAAATGGGTATAAACTGGTCATGCATGTGTTTAGACTGGAATCGAGAAGAAGATTTCTAACCATTAGAGGAGTGAGGTTCTAGAACAGGTTCCCATCATGAGGAGTGGTGGCCAAACAACTTCACTAGTTTTAAGATCGAGCTTGGTACATTTATGAATCAGAGTATATGTTGAGGTTGCCTGTAGTAATATGGAACTGGACTCAGAGACATGGAGTCCCTTCCAGTCCTATGTTCTATTTTATCTATTATTTTATATAGGTACTGTGCTCCCCACCATAGTATTTGAGTGCTAATGATCCCTATGTGCTAACTACTTACGTTAAACAATGTTCCAACTTACATTTAGCTGTGATGTTCAGAGTGCCTTTCCCAGCCCTGAAAAAAAGCTCCCTGTGGCTTGAAACTTGTCTCTTTCACCAACAGAAGTTGGTCCAGTAAAAGATATCACCTCCCACATCTTATCTCTCTAATAACCTGGGACTGACACAGCTACAACTATGCTGCTTTCCAGTAGTGTGTTAAGCATGTTCCTATGCAAAAACACAGGGATCCCACC